TCCTGCGCCGGCGCTCTCGACCCGGAGCTGTGCCGCGCCGCCCTCCCGGCCGACCTGTTCGTGCGGTGGTGCGGGCTGCTATGCGAGTCCATGTTCCTCGGGGCGCGGCGGACCTACTGCCCTTTCCCCGACTGCTCCGAGATGATGGTGGCGGACGACGACGGTGGCGGTGTGTCCGACGGGTGCGTGACGCAGTCGGAGTGCCAGGTGTGCAGGCGGCTGTTCTGTGCGCATTGCGCGGTGCCGTGGCACGCCGGCGTGAGCTGCGCTGAGTTCGCGCAGCTCGGCGCTGAGGAGCGCGGCCGTGAGGATCTGCTGCTCGTTGAGGCCGCCAGGGAGTGCAAATGGAAGCGCTGCCCGCGGTGCCGGTTCTACGTCGAGAAGTCCCATGGCTGTCTGCACATCACATGCAGGTACGTACTGTATAACACCTAGATGGATTTGCGACACGCCCATATGCATGCTTCTCTAATTTAGGAGTTATCGGCCGACCTCTAACTTCTGATGTGTAATGTCGTAGCAATAATTTCCTTGTGCAGAACAACACTTGGTTTCTGCGGTGATTGACTATACTTGTTTGTGACTTATATCTGAAGTTATAATACTGGAGGCTATACCGAGCAGTGCATTTTGGAGATCGAAGCGCAACTCTAGCAGATGCCGTATATTCGGACGGCAGAGACCGTTTGCGGCTCCCCGTAAACCGGATTTGCAGTACCGCGCGGCGCGGGTCAGTTTGCGGCATCTGTTCCGCCCGACTTGGCAATACATCAAACTTTAATGCTTTAAATAAAAACAACAATACATATCAAACTTGAATATTCTAACATCATACAATACAATAATTCTCTCAAATGCAACAATTTTTCAAATCCAAATAACAAATGGTCCGGAATTAAAACAATTGTTCAAATCTCACATGAAAAAAATATATCAAATTGATAAAATGGGTCTCTATTCCTCATACAATTGCCATTGATGCTTAATGAACTAATTGCGTAGCTGCTGGTGTGTGTGTCACAGTTTTCAATCTACCATTAGGTCTCAAGAAATGCATTGATCTCATCTGGGTTCCTGGTAGGCCTCTCAATATCTTTTCGGCGTGCTTCTTGTGCTTGGGCAAAATTAGTTTGTTTTCTGCCTAACAGCTTACTAATTATCTTCACAAATGTTGCCCACGAAGGATAAATACCGTCGGCAAGATAATATCTCATGGAGTAATCATGTCCATTGACGGTGTAGCTGCAAGCTGGAACATTCCCACTAGCTAGCTGCGTAGAAAGATGTGACCTATGCAATACATTGACTTAAGAGACCCCAACAACACAAAAAAGCAATGCCAAATCCACAAGTCATGTGAAGCTACGCCTTCCAGCACAATAGTGAGTTTGCATTGATGGCCGGTGTACTGCCCGGCCCAAGCCTTTGGGCAGCTTTTCCAGTTCATCACCATCAATTTTTTTTGTCTTCATTGGGAGCTCGGGGGTACTCGGGAGCAAATACTTGGATCAATGTCTTTGCAAACACCCACATGCATTTGAGCATAGTATCTTATCCAATGTGAAGATACTCATCGGCGTAATCAGCTGGGATGCCATATGCTATCACTCGCATTGCCGTCGATAGTTTTTGGTATGCACTAAATCCTAGCAAATTGGCGGCAATTCTTCGGCGTGTGAAGAGTCGACAAGTTTGCTCCCAAGCTTCCACAATGCAAACAAAAAGAGGCATACACATTCGATAACGCCTACAGAAGATCCGAGCCATGTAGGTCGGTACCTCGACAAAATAGTCTTTCATGAGCAATTTGTGGCCGAGAGCTCGGTTGTGTGGAATGCGAAGGCGTCCGACCGTCGGGCTGTGCTGTTTTTTCTTCTTGTCGGCTTCAAATTTGTCGACGAGATGCAACAAGAGGAGGTGCTCGGCATCGTCGTCGAAAAGCATCTCCTCTATGATGGAATCATATGACTTCAACGACGAGGATGAATTCCAAATATCATCCATCTATGAAAATAAAATCGTGAGTTCATAAAAAATCGCTCGTTGGCCAAATTGAAAAAAGGTAGAAAAGCAACAAATCTTACCTTTCACCGGAATCAAAACTGGCCCAAGCAAAGCCGAAGCAGCCGTAACCCCCTTCTCCCCTACCACTGGCCGAAAGCCGCAACCCATGGCTGCTGTGGAAGGCCGAAGCTCTCCATGGCTGAGCTCAAATCTTGGTGGAGAAGATGCGGGAGAGGAAGGCTGAAGCTCTCCATGGCACGGGGTGGCCAAAGGTGGAAGGAGGAAGCAAAAGTCGTCAAAGATTTGCGGAGGGAGCGACGGCGGAACAGCGGGCACGCGCGGAAATTTCCCTCCAGCTAAGTCGCGCGTGGGATAGAGAAAACCGTAAAGGATGACCGGAAAACGTGATATTTGAGGGTTGCAGCCGATTTTTAGAGCTCCTCGCAAAAAGATTTGCGGGACGGCCGGATATACGGTACATGTTCAGGACGTTTTTTTGTCCTGGTACCGTATATCGGCGGTTATTTTGCGGGCCGAGGGAATATCCTATCTGCTAGAGTTGCTCTTGGTTTTAAAATTTTCAAACTTTGAAATTTTCAATTTCTAAAAATTCTGAAAAATTTACACATATACAAGGATGTAATGTGTATGTGTAAAATTTCAGAATAAAAAACCTTGAATTGCAAGCACACACAAAAAAAGCATGGACTTTGAGGATGAATAGTACATATGCTGAAAAGACCCATATTTTTTGTGTGTAGTCCTTATCTTAAGGTATTTCGACCTGAAAATTTAAACACACGTACATTATGTCTTTAGGTAATGTGTATTTTTTCAGGATTTTTTTAACTAGTAAGTTTAATTTTGAAGTTTTCAAATTAAGGCCTCAATGGAGCTTGGTTTCTATTTGCCATTTTCGGGGCTATAACTCCGCTATATGATGAAGAGCCCTGTCACAAAAGCTATGTGTATAGAGCAATTTTAACATGGTCCCTCTTGCAAGTGCATACAATATTTTCACCACTGATTTTATGTAGTAGGGCCAATTAATTAACATGTGTATGTCAAGTATATAATGCTTGATCGGTAGGGATGGAGGTGGATGCTTCCGCATCCGTCTGCGAAGCCAAAAGTGTGTGAATCCTTGTTACTTTAATTATCGTGGTAGCTCTAGTTATGCTTATGCGGATGGTTTCGGACGTGTGATGTTGTCCGCATGCATCCTATTTGATCGGTGCTTGATTTTTGAATATATATATTTTTTGCGGTGATGATTTTTGAATATATAAAGCTTAGTTATTGAACCCTGATCAGTGCTTGATTTTTTTATGGCTGGACATGTATATGCCAAGTACATGTGATAATATATCTCTAATTGTATGTATATTTTTTGGACCCCGATAAATCATGAACGTTCGGATTTTAAGCACATCATCCCAAACATTTTTTCATGTCAACTTTAGTTGACGCAAGGTGGCAACTTTGGTTGTTAGAACCTGGCAACTTTGTCCCAGTTTGTGTTTTTTCCATGAAATAACCATGTTTACCAATCTCACGTGAACTAAAGTTGCCATGAAAACTTTTAAATTGTCTTGCTTAAAATCTGAACGTTTGGGATTTATCATTTTCCTTTTTTTTTCATGTTTTCATGATTTATTAAAAAAAACTCTTAACAGACTGCTACATGGTCTCTGCTATTTAGAACTTTGCTTTATCCCATGGCAGGTGTGGCTTTGAGTTCTGCTATGGATGTCAAAAGCCGTGGAAACTCGAACACGACGGCTGCCCTGGAGAATGAAGTGTGTGCTCGTATTGAGTGTTGAATGTGAGCAATGACAACCTACCGTATGCCCGTTGAAACTGAAGCAGGCAACGCCAGGAGATTTCATCGACATGACATATCGTTCATCCACCACTGTCTTATGGAACATGACCAAGTTTACTTTTTATTTTGAGCGTGCCGAAACCATTTGAGGCTTAATTATTGGCTAACATTGTCATTCTCAGACTATGAGCGTATGTTAGTTTGTTGAGTTGATTCTTCAGACCTTCAAGCATTTTTCTGTTCCCACCATGTCCGGTGCTTCACACAAAATCTTTCCAGCTTATACATATGCAATTTTTTCACTTCACAGGAAAAGCACGAAGATGAATGCAGAATGCAGAAACACTCGGATATAATTCATCTCTGAAGAATTGCGCATATCCAAACAGACTTACTTTGCTCATTTACTCCCTCCGTCCTAAAATAAGTGTCTTAAATGTATACTAACTTTAGTATAAAATTGTACTAATGTTGACACACTTATTTTGGGACCAAATATGACATTCATCGAAGAATAAGAAAACTGAATCCGTTCTATATCTGCAGATATAATTCATCTCTGAAGAATTGCGCATATCCAAACAGACTTACTTTGCTCATTATTATAGTACAATATGACATTCATCCAAGAATAAGAAAACTGAATCCGTTTTATATCTGCAGAGCTTTACAAATAATCCAACGAAAAGAACTTTCAACTAAAAGGGGAGTGGTTACAGGTATTGTCGCTACTACATGGAATTTGCACCCAAGATGGGCTTTGCTCATCACATTATGCAGCAATTTTCTGTTGATTCAAGCATCTCAGGAGATCTGCAATACAGTAAAATCCCTAGTTAGTCAAGTACTTCAGTGTAAATAAGGGTGTACATAATACATCCTTTGGTTTACCAACAACAATACGATGTACATCAAAAAGTAAAGTACTACTAGCATGTGCACAAGACAATTTGATGTGTTCTAGCCTACACTATGCTCATACGAACGATTATCATTATGGAAAGGCCTAATAATAGCATGTTAGCACAATTGAAATTGAGCAAAAAGATTATTTGGAAGGAAATTGGCAAATAATAACCTCCATTTTTGCGTAAACACAATAAGATGTGCGCTCAGTAGTATTAAGTTTTTTATTAGAAAATCTCTACTTAACACTGTCACAAAATTAATGCTAATTCAGGCAGCCTATTGTCTTGCAGTTCGAATCCAGAAGCAAAAGCGTTCTGTTTCCCATCAAATAGAAGATAAACGACCATCACAAAAGAACAAGATCAACAATACATCATTCCGCCTGTAATGACAGAGGACATGCAATATAAACTTCGGTTCAGAGGACGTGCAAATAAAAGCAGTAATGACAGTGTTCTGGTTTAAAATGGAAATGACTGCAAGACTTACAGTTGTCCCAACTTGCTCAGATCCAGATCCGGAACAATATCTTGAACAAGATCACTGGGGGGCTGACCACATTCTTGCATGTTTTGCATGATCTCAAAAACCTTAGACATATTCTCAGGCTCATGTTCATAGACCTCATTAAGTTTCAGCATGAGTTCAAGCTGATTGCTGTAACGCTCATATTCTTCTTTGCTTATCTTGCTTTTGTTATCCTCCAGCCATTTTGGGTACTTCTCTACAATGTCCTTCATGGGTTCGTAAAGAATCTCCTTGGAAAGAAGTTGTTTCATCATTGTTTCAACAATAGAATCCATATCCTGCGGAAGATGAGCAAAGTAAAGCAATTGATTCACAGTTGTATGAACACAACATAAGTTAACTGCACTTTATCATCAAACATTCTGTTTTGTAACTTTCTAACGACAAACACTAAATTAACAGCTTCCTTGCATGAAATTCTCAAATTTTCCCATGGTTGAGACATACAACTAGTAAATAACCAATAATATATATGACTTCTTCCCAAATAAACCAACAATCTGCCAATGATGGTGCCGTAGTTTCCTAGGGAATCTGACATTTTCAAATCCCATGCCTACAAAAGAACTAGTTGGTAAGATACATACTCCTGTAATATGTGTTGTCTTAAAAACTTCTTAGCAGTAGCCATGCATGCCCAAAATTTGCGACTTCATTACAACTGAAGACATCACATTCACATGTTCTAGGATTGGAGCGAAGCTTATTACACCACCCAAACTGCTATCCCATTTAAGGAGTATGCCCTCCAAGACCAGATTTACATCAATGGATTCCTTCACCCCTATGCCAATGAGTTCATTTAGCTTTCTCAGGCAAAGATTCTTAAATAAACTAACAAAAATCCGTATGCCAGTACACCATTACATCCTAATTCTGAATCCCCGTGAAGTGCTGGTTCACCCAATGGTTTTCAGCATGTCACATCTTTAACCAACACAGATTAAGCAGCCTATTCTGTAAAACCCTCTCATATCTCCGTATTCTAAGGCTCAGTTTGCGGGGTAAAACAACACTAAAATAGGGAAAAGTAGAACCTAAATTGCATGAACATGCATTGTACATGAAGCATACCTACACTCAACATGTTTTCTCTTTAAAACATTTTAGTAATAGCCAGGCATATCCTAATTGGAGCTAACATACGACATCACCTGAGTAGCTATAGAATTAAGGGAGTATGCAGAGTAAAAATCAAACTACATCAATGGTTTCCTCATTGCAGGCAACTAAATTAGCTTCCTACTCGCAAAAAAGGAAAAACTAAATTAGCTATCTCGGGCGAAGATTCTTAAGCTAATGAATATCCCTAATAAAATGCCAATACACCGTTGCATCCATCCCAGCACTTTGGACCGATTTTAGCATGTCACATCTTTTAACAGCGTTGATTGAGCAGTCCCCGAAGTCATCCGGACTCTTTTCTAAGTTCAAATGAACATGCATCGTACACCAATCATACCTGCGCGCCAGCGAACTCCTCGAACTGCTTCACAAAGTCCTCCATCATCGCCTCGTCATCCAGGCCTGCGATCCCCCCGGTGGCCGTCTCGAGGCCCCGGACCGCCTCCCGCGTCTCGCGCGTCAGCTTCTCGAGCGCCTCCGACGCGTGCGCGCCCCTCGGCGGCGGCGGGGGTTGCCTCGCCGCCCGCCTCCTTGGCGCCCTGGGGTCAGGCAGCGACATCCCCAGACCCTTCACCGGCCTCGCGCTCCCGGACGACGACGATGCCGATGCCTCGCCGCTGCTGCAGAGAAGGGACATCGTCACAGATTCAGTCAAAATCCTCGCGAAATAGTATTGACTCGGCGGGTACTCGAGGTGGACCTTTTGGGGGCGGCGGCGAGATCGAGGCTGGTGAAGTCATCGAGGGCGCTGTCGAGGAGCTGGTCGAGGTCGTCGGCGGCGGTGGCGCCGGAGCTGGGGTTGGAGGAGGCCATGGAGGGTCGGGCCTCAGAGCTGGAGAGACGCCGCGGCGTGGATGGGGCTCCTGATTCGGGGGTTTCGGCCGAAGGCGTGTGGGAATTGGGCTTGGGATTCAGGGGTGGGAAATAAAGAGGAACGCGAGGAGGAGGCGGGCGAGCAGAGGCAAGGTAGTCCTAACGAGCACGGCCGGCAGTGGATCCCTTCTCCGACTAGCAAGGATAGCCTTCGTTATCTCAGCCGTCGGATTGTCATCCTTGGACGCAGGAACCGTGTAAATTTAGGCTGTATTTGGATGCAAAGTTCTTTTAAAACGAAAATGCCGTTTGGTGGCCGAGCACCATGCAGGCCTTAATCTGGCTCGTCAGTGTTCGTACGGATCGGCCGCAGTCCCTTGTGACTCACGCGTATTTGACCTGACACCTTTTTTACACCATACCGTATTCTCCATTTTATGCACAGTGTCATCCCATGTTAACGACACTGCCTGACCAGGCTGTTCACAGGTTCCACCGTCTCACCCCCATCATGTACAGGCAGTGCGTCATGTACACTTCCATGCCACATGAATATGCTAGTTCCGAGAACATGACCATCCTCGATGATACACTAATTACCTTAGTTTTGGGATTAGCACTACTAGTTCTTAATTAAGGGAAAGTTCTCGCTGCAGGCACGGAGGCACCTCAGATTTACCCATGATTGAGAATAAACCTGAGAATGGTTATTAAAAAACTAGGTGAAACGGTTCAGTTCTTACTTTGGGTTGGATTGGTTCAGGTTTTATTAGGCTGAATCTTTTTTAGTTTGGTTTTGGTTTGGGTATGTGAAGAAACCAATTTGGGTATAGTTGGTTATGGGTTTAAACAGTTTGGTTATTAGCGGCTATAAACTATGGGTCCAAACCGGTTTCTGGGCATTGGTTATGTGCAATAACCAACGACACATCGACAACAAATATCTTTGGTCCGCGTACATGCTGTGATGCACTATGTAATTCTGTATTACGGGAAAACACCACATGCAAATCGAAAGTGTTTGCTTGTGCTTTAGCTAAGCAATTGGCTTTAATACACTTGTCAGTGAGCTTTTTGGTCGTAGGCATCTTTTTGCCTGTTGTGTGTTGACCGTATCTCAACGATAACTTTGTTCTCAAACTGTTGTAGATGCACTTATGCCTTTTCTATCTCATTTTCTTCTTAACATGTCAATTTGTGCAATCATATGTACATTGAAGCAAACCCATAGTTATGTATTGGGTTTAAACCCATAGTTATGTATTGGGTTTAAATTGGTTTGGGTGGAAAAATTAGAGGGTTCGGTTTTGGTTGGGCTGAAAATGACATTAAACGGGTATGGTTCAAGTATGGTTTTGAGAGATACATGTACGAGTATGGTTTAAGTATGGTTCAAGTATGAAACCATTCTCAGATTTAATTGAGAATAATAAACTAAATGCAATTTCTTTTGATGATTACATTTGATTTTCATAATTAAGCCACTAACCATAGTAGATTTGGCCCAATTAGTACAAAATCGCTTTACAACATACTAAAAGCAGCAAGAAATGTTAAGAAAAATCTTCTTTCTTCATTGAGAACTAATCATTAGACTGCCCCAAAGAATCATTCCATTACAAACATAAAAAATATTTTGGATAAATTACCCATGGATTCAACAAGCAATGACAATTGTCTGTATTTATTGCACACATATTTATCATCAGGTACTCACATGCCGTACATGTTTCAATGGGTGAAGTTCTTTTTTGGATGGGTTATTGGACTAGTCCTTAATCAACCAGATTGAACAAATATATGTTGCACCTTGTTATTTTTTTACCACGCGATCACCTCACTAAAAAATTGCAATTTTACAATTGATGAAAAGTTATGCAAACAATTTTGTAGTACCAAGAACAACACTTCTAATTTTAAGTACTCTAAGTAAGTACCAAAGTCCGGTCAGACGAATCATGTGGCCGCCTCCCAACCCAAGCCGCAGCCTCGGTGCCCCTCATCTTCCCATCTGGTGGCCTCATTGGCGGCAAGAGGAGTGGGGGCCCATCCATCTCGTTTTATTTTTCTTATGTTTTTTGCTTCTCCAACATCATCGACGAGGTGGTGGCGATGACGGCGTGTTAGAATACGGTCACTCTGGTCTCTCCCTACCTTGACGATGCTTGATCCGGCACGTCTTCAAAGCCCGGTATGGCGAGGGCGTTTGCAGGTGTTAGTTTTCTTTGTTGTTGGTTGAGTGCAAATTTTAAATTTCCGTGAGTGGCATACAATCAAAGGACGGATACTAGTATGTTTTTAATGTAATTTATTGTTTATGGTCGTTCTACATCCAGTTGTCTATCCATTGTACCGATCTTTGTTCTCCTTGATATTAATTCAGAACTAATACGCCCTTTGAGTGTCTTTATTCAGAGAAATAACACTTCTAATTCTCATCCAAATATGAAACATAGTTGTAGAAACAATAATAAGAAACATTTACATGGCCAATAAAATGGTCCGAATCCACGGCCCGGCTCTCATCACCAAAATACCAGCTCGTATTTGTATTGTTTTTTTTAACGTAAACTATAAAATTAGAATGCAACTTTAACCTTCCATCTCCACAAAACTTCAAGAATATTCAATCCCAAAAAGAGATTTTTTGAGAATAGGTGCACTGGATACTTTCCCCTCGAGGAGTAGATATATCGGCGATGTCACTAACAAAGAGATAAGCATTTTACTCTAAATTGTTTTTGAATATGGGCTAATTTTTTAAAAAATATGCGATGAACATATTTTAAATACAAGATGAATATTTTTTATACATGTCACGAACATAATCCAAATTCATAAATGAAAATATATTCAAATATGCGATGGACTTTTTCGCATACACGACGAGTATTATTCCAATACGCGATGAACAGATTTTAAATACATGTTTTCACTTCAAAATTGGTGAATATTTTCTAAATACATGACAAACATTTTCTAAATACGTGGTGAACGATTTTTCATATACGTGACAAGCATTTTCTTTCTGAATATGTGGTGGACTTGTTTTGAATACGCGGTGATTATTCTAAACACATGATGCACTTTTTTCAAATACACGATCAAGATTGTTTGTAATATGAGTTGAATAATTTAGCAGTGCCTTCAAAATATTTTTCACTCTTTTATTTTTTTATAAATGAATGAAATATAAAAAAACATAACTTTTACAGAATATGTACGGCTAGAGAAAAAATAAAGAAGAAAAAAAGGAATAACAACTAGCCTTGCCTGTGCGGATGTGCGTTGTGAGCGACTACAGGTGAGGGATAGCAGCATCAAAATTCAAACTCACCCAACGAGGCACATCATGTTCTTGCATCATCGCCCACGATGGAGGCTCACGTACAAATACAGAAGACGAGAGAATGGCACCCCTGTATTAGCATCTGTATATAACTAAATGGTAAGAAGGCATGGATCCCAATCCCTCAACATCCGCCCGGGATAGCGGCCTCCAGGCAGCTCGGCCTCCAAAATGCTCCACTCCTTTTAAAACCAATATAAATTAGAACTTGTGGGCACAAAACATCGCCTTAGATTACCAGTTGAATGCACGTGCGTACATAATAAACATGTGACCCCTTTATGTGATTCCACACCGCCATGCACCCATTATCCAATCATCATCATCGCATGCATAACACAACCAACAAGAAAATCGGTTGTCCTGGACTACGTCGCGCCAGAGTTTACTTACAGAACATTCATTCTTTATAGTTCCCTATATAAAAGTGATTACATGATTGTTCTAAGGGTTGTGTTAGGCATCAACCGGCCGAATCACTAGTGGATCGGCCAGCTCGATAGCCGTTTGATCCGCCCCTGATGCGTGATGGCTCGAGATTTTACCACTTTTAGTATAGAGATTTGATACGGCCTTCATCAGAGTTTTGGTATTTCTCGCATCTTTTTAACGTTAACCCTTCGACAAAGGAGCAAACTTTTTTTCTTTGTTATGCAGAAAATATACTTTTGAAAGAAAATCAATTAAAATCTCATCAAATGGAGCGAAATGGAGCAACTTCCACGTTGGGCAGATTTGCACCAGAAGACTTGTGCTACGCTTGTACCAGGGATCATACCAGGCGCCCTCAGCTCCCCCTCATCTACAGGAAATTTTTTCATGAAGGAGCAGATAGCATCATAGGATACAGCTGCCGCCACACCATCTAGAACAAAGAAAGAAGAGATCCGGAGAAGAAGAAGCATAGGAGATCATTATCTTCTTGTTTTTTTGTCTTTGTTCCCTTTCATCGCATCAATGCCATAGGGAGAGTAATTCCAAGTTGTAAGACTAGGGCTTATAACTCTATTTGTATTCATCTTGAGACTAAGACTTGTTTAATCGTTCATCTTATTGTGGATTTTCATGATATTATCGATATGATTTCTCTTGAATTATTCTATGAGATGTTTGGTGATTCTTGCTTACTCCCTCGTAAGAGTGGTTGGGTAACCCCCAAGTGTAAGGATGAAGTAACCTAGCAATAATTATTTCCTTCATTTGAGAGCCAGGGTTTATCAAACCAGAAGGAGTTCTTCCAGCAAACAAAGTCACGGTTACTTGCACATAAAACACAACACACTCTTAACCCCAACATTTTAAGAAGGTTTTCAAGCTCCTTGTCCTAATAGTTAAAGGGTAAATTGCACGGTGTGGTAGGAATTGGTAAGTAGATAAAATAAAATAAACAATATGGCAAAGGATAATATTTTTGTAGATGTTTTCAGTAATGGAAAATAGACCCCCAGGGCCATAGGTCCGCTAGTAGCATTTCTCCAAGCAGATAAGTGTGGTGGGGTGACCAAATTACAGTTCGGCAGCAATTAAGTTATAATATTTCTACTTATAGCTATGATCAGCCATGGTATAATCTTATATAGGCATTACGTCTGTGATATGTAAATCGTTATCCAACTGCATCTACAACTAATACTTCACCCCAAGACCGCTA